TATGTAAACCGAGGTACCAGAAGAATCTTCTCTTCACTATTATGTAACAATTCAAAGGCAAATTAGGATTTGGAATTAGGTTTTCTTACTTCAAACCACCTGTTCTTAACCTGTGTACTCTACTAGGAATCAGTTCCTTTAACATCTTGATTGCCTTCAGCTCCACATGCCAAAGTGGCAGATTCTGGGGTGGCACATTCTGCTACCCTTCGCACCTCTGCCAAGGTAGTATGATGACCTTATCTTTAGACAACTAATTTGTTCCCATTCTCTCCCCATCACTTGTGCATGAGAATAGCATTTCGAAGATTAAAAAGAAAGAAAAGATTGTTACAGAGGTTTTATTTTTATTGTTGAAATTTAGTTGAAGCTATTAATTTTTGCATTCAATACATAATTGCCTTGAATCTATATGTTGTAGGAACTTTGTTTTGGGGTCACAACTCTGGGAGATAAATAAAAGATCTGAGTTAACACTGAAGTTTCTGTTGGTGAGGAATCAGACATATCTGTGAGAGTACATATAGATCACGGAGACTGAGGATCAGAAACGGTTTCTTTGAGAAAGTGAGACACAAGCCAAAATTGAAAGGGTATGTAAGTGAATGATGGATTTAGTGTAAAGATTAGAAAGAAAGAGTGCAACATAGAAAGGTCCACCTCAGGAGAGAGCATAGAGTGATTAAAGAAAAAAAAATCTGGAATGTCGGGAGCAAGAGCATGGCAGGAGATGAAACTGTAGAGAGGGCCATGCATGTAGGACCTTGTAGGCCATACACTCTGGTTTCCACCCTAAAGTAACACTATGCTGAAGATTGTAGGACATAAAAATAGTTTTAACAATTTTTCATGGCAAATCATTAAAAGGTAAGCAAGTTTTTTATGTATGAAAGATCACTGTGGTTAAAGATTGAAAATTAAAGAGTGGGGCAAGATGGCCTGTAGAGAGAGCAGTTAGAATAATCTATGTGATCAGGTAGGAGATTGGATTAGCATGGTGGCACTGGAAATTGAAAGCAGTACGTGGATATGGGAATTTTTTTTCAATAGGGATTAAATTCAAGACTTATTGATGAATTTAATATAAGAAAGCAAGGGAAATGGGTAGGCTTAAAGGCCATCTCCATATTTCTGGTTTATGCAACGTGGTGCAAAATTGTGCCATTCACTGACATAATGCATACCTGAAGAGGCCAGGTGTGGGCTGTGGGTAGCAATACATTTAAGGCACTTTTGAAATTGCAATTGCAGCTGTTGTCTGGCCAGTAGGACCAACTCAGAAGAGTCACCTGGAAATACAATATGCAAGTCATTGGCATAGTGATGGCAATTGCCATATTAATATATGGGAGAAAAAATAAAACAAGTGGATTGATTTGAAATTTAATTGAAAATGTCTTGTTTGCTCTTAAAAAGAAGTTTTGAGAATGGGCTAAGGTGGACATAGGGTTTCCTGGCTATTTTCTCTTCCTGGTCAGAAATGCTATGCTTAGACAATTACTGGATTGTAGCTTGCTTGTGACTTGTCTTAACTTTTGGCTGCAATAAAAAAAAAATTACAGATTTAGTGCCTTTGAAACTAGCCATTAAATATCTTTCTAATATTTTCTGAGGTATTTTAAATCTGACCTGTTGCATGATATTATTTAAAAATAAATGGTTTACTTTTTAGCTTGATGACAAATTTGTAGAAATAAATCACACTGAGCCTTTAGGTATTTGTATTCATATCCTGCACTTTATAACAAATTGGATATGCGAATAGGGTAGGGGCCTGAGAGGTTAGAAATTTGAGGCATGAAAAACAATGAATTTGTGATTTAACCAGGACAGTCAAGGGTGAAATTAAATAGATTAAGGAAGTCCATTTCCAAGGTGCAGCCATCATCAGCTAACCTGTCTTTCCTGCGGCACACAGATTATCCATAGGCCACAGAGAACAAGATCACCCAGCCTCCAAATTGCCTTATAGTCTGTACTTTCATCTCCATTGGAATATTTTGCATATATAATACATCCCTGGCTTATTCCATCCAAAATTACTATCTTTTAAAAGACAATTCTGAATATACTTAGCATTAAAAATATTTTTGTGCATTTCAAAACTAATTAATTGTACTTTCACGAGCCTATCATTCCAAAATAAACATTTTGGCTGTTGTGAAGAATGTTATTAATAGGTTATTTTTATGTGTCTGACTGATCTCTCTTCATTATGTGTTTTACAAATTATTTTTGGTACAAATCTTGAATAAACAAAGTATTTTTTGGACATTGAAGTGTCTTATTTGGGGGATTTAGAACTTGCTGGAAAAATAATGCTTAGTGAAAGCCCTCTACAGAGGTCTGAGCAGAAGGAAATATAGCTTCGCCTCTACTCCTGGGAGAGGACATGGTGAGAACTGACTTCTGAGCATGTTGAATGGAGAGATGTTGAATGGGAGATTGTAACTGGGCCGACTATAGTTCAGAAAAATTGTACAAACGTTCTTTTAGCACCACCTCTTGCTAAATCCGGAGGCTACTAACATGAATATAATACACCATTGGGCTGAATGAACTCTTGTGAGAAAGACACACTAATATTATTTCAGTGGGTAATTTATCCAATGGAATACAGAGTGTACTGAAAGAATGCAGAGAGGGGGTATTTAACCCAGACTAACAAGGAAGATTTTCTAGAGGAGGTGATATCTTGCCAGATTTTTAAAATAGAAATAGCAGTTAAGCAGGGGAAGAAGAGGAGGAAAGGTGTTTTAGAAGATGGCATGGCAAACATAAATTTGGTTTGTTATGACTTTCACTCTGAGAGTGGAATAGGGTAAGAGGCTGAGACTGAGTTGTACTTAGCTGAATTTAAAGTACTCGTGAATTTAAAGTAACCACTGGTGGTGAGTTTTAAGTAATTATACCCAGCTTCCTCCTTCTTTCCTTTTCCTTCATCCTTCCTGCTCATAAAGTTATCCATTAAATACCTATCCCTCTACTAATATTCACACACAAATACACAACACTTGTCTACTCTCTGCAGCTACGACAGTCCTAATTAAAGTAGTGGCCATATATATGGGGCAGGGAGGAATAGTCTTGCAAACTACCCTCTAAAATACAAAGGAAGAAATGTTTGTTAGTCTAAGAATTGCATCTTGTAAGAACTGGTCAGGTTTCCTTTATTGTCTCTCTGACAAATTGCCTCTGTTTTCTTGTATACCCTTCTCACTCTCCACACCTATTGTCTCTTTTTTTTTCTTTCGATCATTAGTTTTGTTAGTGAAATTATTAAAGAATTGGCTCCACATACAGTACGTGGTACTATACCTGTGTGATCGTTTATGAGTCTTCGTTCTAGCTTATCTCTAACCTTCCACACCTGAGACCCTTGAAGAAAGGCGCTGTTGATTTTTTATTCCCATATTTAGCACTTAGTAACACATCTATAACTTTGACTGAATGAATACTTTTTGAAAGCATAAAGGAATAAAAAACTAAATGAAAAAATATTATGAGTACATAGAGTGGAGGATAAATTCTGTCTGGAAGTATGAGTAAGTTTTCACAGAAGAGGTAAAATCTAGTTTCATCAAGAGAAACAGAGATTTACCAGGCAGAAGTAGAAGTAGAAATGCATATAGGTAACAAAACTTCCCTAAAAATACAAATTATGGTCCAGCAAAAATAAGGGGACTGATATGACCAGAGGGCACAGTGCTTAACTCTTTGCAAATGATGTGGGGATCACTCATGCTTGAAAATGATATTATAAATCATTTATTTAGGTTTGAAAAAGTTTGAATGGTAGCCTAAGGAATGTTTTTTTTTATTGCAAAGGAAACATATAAGGCTTTTTGGGCGGAAAAGTGTCATTATTTTATGTTTGACTGGGATGCATGAAAATAATTCATGTGAAATGAAGACAAGAAGCAGGATGACCGCAGAGCTTCTGGGCGATAAGTGAGGAAACCATCGCGAGAGTAGGGGTGACAGAGAAGATCTCTGCTTTGTCAGGGGCCATAGGAAGGAGACAAAGGAGTATAATGAGGATGAGGTCTTTTAGATCTAAGAATATTATGACTTAAAACTCCTTGAATCTTGATAAGAATGAAGAGAGAAAAAGTGGAGATCACTGAGATTTTAAGCTTTATATGAAAGAGCACATACTTTACAATATAGAATAGTGCTTGCCAAAGGCCTTACCCTTCATGTACATGGGCATCATAAATAACAGAATCCTAATTAATTAATGAAACCTTGAAATCATCTTCCAAATAATACATATACGTGGGTGGCTTTCAGCAAATCTGATAGATGCCGTAGTCACAGGAGTATAACTGCACGACAGAGCCCTGTCAGGCGCACAGAGCACCTCCAAGGAGAATGCTTCATTTCTCAGAGGTGCACATTGTACATCTTGCAGGCAAAGCCTTCACGTTTTAGTTACCATGGATAGTATAGCTCATGATACTATTTATATATTCATTATCATGAGACTTTTGGCAGGGTATTAGCAGTGCTTGAAATAACAAATTAGTCATTACTACTGACTGACAGGCACTATTCTTAAAGTTTGTTGAACATAGGGATGATTGACTGTCCGTAAGGTATTTTACCTTTTCATAGGAAACATATGTTCATATTATTTTCAAGTCGATCCATAATAATTTTAAGATACTTCTATTTTTAAGTTAATTATATCTTAACATATATTTAAATAGTTATATATTTATATAGCTAATATATTTAACATATATTATCAAGTTAACACATTAATAGTACATATTATATACAAGGTAACATGTTAATATTGCATTGGAATTGCAAAATCTGATATAAGGACTTTATATATTTGTTTTCCACAAATCATTAGGTGCTGTATCTGTTATTGTATAATACTTTTATATCTTTAAGTCCTCACTAAATATATACATGTACTCTCTCTTTCTTTCTTTTTCTTTCATTTCTCTGATCTGCTTCCACTGATGACTCTATACTTTTGACTTCAGACTGGCAATATGAGGGTAAGATGACAAAAATCAAAACCCCAAACAACCTCCTGAGCATTCCGTGTCTGTCTTTGTTTTATTCTCTTTAGAATATTATTAAAATTCTATTCACTCTCTTTAATTAGACCCTTTATCACAATTAAAGTCCAATTATGTTTGTTTCTGTTGTGAAGCTTTAATTACAATTTATCCTTGTTAATCATCCCTTTATGTTATTTCTGGGTTAAATTACCATCCCATTATCTCTGTCATGAAAGACTTCAGCTCCCCTGTGGTCTCTGCTGGTGTTTTCTCAGTAAGATTGGAATATTTTTGTGGTGTACAGAGTGACTGAGTTATGATGTGGTAAAGGAAGCTATGTGTTTTCTATGAAATTAAAAAATAATAAATTATTCGAAGTAATGATGCCTATCAGTTGGATTTCAGGCCTTTTCTTTTGTACTATCAATAAACATCTCAATGAATTTGTTGTCAGGGTAGGTGCCCCTGCAGTTGCTACTTCTTACCCTTGATTGTTTTCTTTCTCTAGATTGCAAACTAGCTCGGGGAGGACCTCCAGCCACCATAGTTGCTATTGATGAAGAGAGCCGGAATGGTGAGTGAGCTCTGTGTTTCACAAATGACTTTTCTAAGAGGGATTTCTTCTAATTTGGTATGTGCAGAAGTAATAAATGAAACTTTAACCCAAATGCATTAACAGTTCCCTTTTAATTGTTCCCCTGCATGGGTTTAAATTATGCCATATCCTGGAAATTCTTTACATATTATGAGAAACTCTTTCAATGACTAGAAGTGTTGTTTAGTTTTGATTGTGAATAAACAGTTTGAGTTGAGATCCGTCCAAGAAGGCATCCAGCTACTGGCTAGAATTTTACTTTGTCAGTGTGTAGAGTTGACTACCATGCATACACACATCTAGTCATCTAAATAAGACACAATGTATCCGTCCAAACAAAGTGGACCACAAGGTAAACCTTACACTGCTAATTTAAATTGGCTAGACCTCCTAAAGGTTAGGGCCCATAGTCAGGGCAATTTAGCAATGGCTAATGGGAACACTGAAAGGTCTTTGGAACAGAGGACCTGATGAAAGGTTGAGGGCAGAGAAAGAAGTCTGAATTTTCACTTAGGTTCTCTTCTATAATTAAACATTAATATCTAATTCATATTAAGTTCTTCAAAAAGGTAATTTTACTTATCAAAACAAAAAATAAATGTAATTAGCACTTGTGTTCCACAATACTTCTAGCTTCTGTAAACTTAATGTACAACTATTTAAGATTCTCTCCCTCTATTAACCAGCAGTAACATGGTAATCTCTTGAGTTTTGGTTTCTATTTCAAACTATTCTGTGTGAGAATGTGCTCTGTGGCTCATTTGTCTCCTAATTCTGTAATGGACCTTACATTGGACTTGTTTTATGTGTACTTTCTGTCTATTCTAAACACTGAATTTTCCATATGTACATTTTTTAAAAATTATGTGAAGAGGTTTCTTAGAGAATAACATTTTCCCTGGAATTCAATCTACATATATTTGAGAAGTCCTCTAATATATATAATACTTTCATTGGTTCACTTCTTCATGGATTTATTGTGCTGAATTAGAAATATTCCTTTTATTCCTTCAAAGAACTGTCATAAACACGTTTTTTTTCTTACACATCTTTTGGAATCAGCCAAAAATGTCTACAACATTCTTGGCCTCCATTTAAACAAATTTAAGTGTCTATACTCAATCTTAGCAACACACACACAAAAAAAAAATCACAAAAATTAGTTTTATTTTTAAAAATTTAATCTTTTTGAACATAAAAGATAAAAGCATATTAAGTTAATAAGAGTAATTATGATACACTTGAATAAATTGGAAATAATTCCTATACATGTCTGAAGAAAAAATATATATATAAATACCATACCAGAAAATTTTTATCTCATTGTAGCATTGTGGTATATTTATTGTTAACTATTTTCCTATAAACCAATCTATATTCTTAAATGTTTTACAGTGAAAACAGTTTGCCTTTTTAACCAGAGGCAAAAAATAAGATGAAGATAGCCAGTCTACATTTTCTTTTCTTATTCTTCCCAATTTCCTTGACCATATATGCCAAGCATTCAGTTTTACTAAAGAATTTTTTCAACATGTGCTTCCATGCAGAATTCGTTTTGCTAGCCAGATATTCACAACCATGTCAATGATGATGTTTTATCTCCCCTCATGCTGATTAGACCCCTTTTCAAAAGAGCTCAAGAACTATGCACAGATGTTGCCACGGCAGTGCTGCATGGTTGCATGCGGTAAAAGTTCAATATTTGTGTTTTAGAAGAATGTGGTATGATATCCTGTAGTGATGTTGTGCTCTTTAATTGGCATATTTTGTAGAAACTGCCAACTACTCAGAATGCTGCCAAAATTATCTGAGTGTCATCACAGTATAAATACTGATCTAGAGACTAAATGTTTTGCATTTTTCTCTTACATAAAATTTCTAAGAATAGGATGATCAAATAGACCTGTGCCAGATATTAAAATTCAGTGTATAATCATCCTTGTCTTAAAAATCTAAAGGAAACTATGAGAGAATTTTTTTTCATATTTTTCTTCAGCCAATCTGAGAAACTTTCCAGTAGAACAATTAATTCTAGTCCTGCACTTAAACTATCTTAATTTCTCATTTCCTGAATCTTTTAACTGGTAGTAATAAAATATATGGGTATCCTATTTTACCAGTAGAATAAGCACTAATTTTTAAAGATTCCGGGGCTTCTTTAAACTAAGGTATAGAAAACCTTTATTAAGCCAAACTAGTAAGTTTATTGTGTGCCAGCTTGCTTTTGGGGGACTTTATTAATGTTTACACTAAACAATCTCTATTGCTAAATACATCTTCTACTAAGCTATAGCTTTTAAATAGCCCAGTTTTTTTAAAAATCTGTATTTACTTTTATAATAGTCACTGAGGTGTATATGTATAAAATATCCATTATTTGTCACATGTATCTGCATCTTTAAAGATTTTTATACCCTATTGGATGGACATATTCCCTCTTTGTGTATGCTATATGCATGGCATGTATGTGTATGTTTGAAAGAATTAAAACCTTGGTATGTGGAGATCCATAAACTTCTTTCTCATCCCAGGCCCCATTAGCTCTTCACCCTCCTTGATCATTGACCTCAACAGCCTATGACAATGGATTCATTATATCACCCTCTATCTGAATCAAGAGTTGGTTTTTATCATAACTACAGCAAATCAAGCTTGTGTTGATACAAAGTCAACACAGAAATAGACATATGTTGGTTCCTGACAACTGTCAGAAAGCTCTTGAGCCAGTATGCAGAGTGTGTTCAGTGTGTAATTTCATTTAGAGGAGAGAATATGTCCAGAAAAACAGACATAAGATATATAATCTTGTTTAACCAGATGAGAATGTCTAAATATTCTTTCTGGAATAGTTATACACATACAAAAACCTGCATGTGGATGTTTATAGCGTCTGTATTCACAAGTGCCAAAACTTGAATGCAACCAAGATGCCCTTTCAGTAAGTGAAGAGGTAAATTAATTGTGGTAAAGCCAGACAAATTCAGCACTAAAAAGCAATGAGGTATCAAGTTATGAAAAGACACGGAGGAATCTTACATGCATACTACTAAGTGAAGGAAGCTGATCTGTACAATTTCAGCTGTATGATATTCTGGAAAACACAGAACTACAGAGAATACAAAAGCTCAGTAGTTGCTGGACATGGGCAGGGGAGAAAATAGGGAGCAGGGGACTTTTAAGGTAGTGAAAATACTCTGTAGGAAATTCTAATGATGGATAGGTGTCATTGTCCATTCATCCAAACCCATAGAACGCACAACACCAAGAGTGAATCCTAAGGTAAACTATGGACTCTGGTGATTGTGATGAGTCAGTGTAGGTTCATCCTTGGTTAAAAAAAAAGTAACATTCTGGTGGAGCATGTTGATAATGAGTGAGGCTATGTATGTATGTGTGTGGGGGATATATGGAAAATCTCTGTAAACACCCCCCCATTTTTGTGGTAAACCTAAAGTGCTTGAAAAAATAAAGTCTAAAATCTTTCTAGAAATATGTTTACTAGTTTCACTGGATTCTCAGTCACTTATGACACTGAGTCCTTACTGGAAGGAGAGAGGAGCAGTTCCATGGGGACAATTTGAAGCCTGCCTTTGAGTGCCGGCCAAACAGAGTCCCAACAGCTGCACAACTCTGGAATGGCATTTAAACAAGCTGTGGGACCAGTGGTTCAGACTGATTCTCTGAACCTGGGTAAATACATAAGTAGTGCTGAGTCAAGGGGACAAAAGTGATTTTAAGTCATGGTTACAACAGAACACTGGGATTGACCAAAAATAGATTCAGAGACAAAAGGGTATAGCTATCTATGTGAGACTGGGAGGCCCATTCTGAAGGTCTTTTACAGACTTAAAGTCCAAAAGATACTGTGTGAAAGGTGATGCTGAGGGTCTCTACATTTTGAAAGTAGCTGTCAAAAAGGCTGACTCAATGAAGATGTTTCCTTTTCCTTGTCAAAACTCATCCTAGAGCCAGGGTGGGAAACAGGGTTGAGGATCGTGGATCCTTACATGCTTCCAGAGATAGAGAGGAGGTCACACAAAGGAGCAATGAGCTCAGTTGGTCACCCCTTCCTCAGAGTTTCTCTGGTCCAAGCATAATGTTAGGGGAGGAAGAAAGGAATGTGGAGATTGCTATTTCATTTGAGACAGTCAAGGTATTGAAGGCACTTAGAAAGTGCTCCTTAGCATTCTTTTCCATTCATTGACACTTGGAGGAATTGGACATTAAATTCTTTTGCTGGTGCTTTTCTTTCCTTATAGTTGCCAATTACGTACTGCTCAGTTTACAGGAAGGAGTTAGCCAAACTCTGCCTGCCACACCTCCAAAGGGTCGCAAGTGGGATCTCAAATGCTCCTTGTAAAAGATGCCTTGCATTCGTGGACACAAAAACCTCAAATAACAAATACGTTTTTATGGAAAGCCCCAAAGTTTAAACAAAATGTGATACAATCAAGTTTTTTGGCCTCCAGATATTCAGAATCCTCCCTAATTTGCCTATTTTTATTCATCCTTCATTCTCTTAAGAGAAGAGTCTAACCTGGCAGAAAATTTTTGCAAGAAGGATAATCACAGTGGAAGAAGAGTAGAGTCTTCATAGAGTAAACAGATAAGTGTAGAAGATGACTAGAGCCCCAGCTGTGAGAGAGCACAAGATGGTCAGGAGGGAGGGCATCGAGGAGCGAAGATGACACCTATCAGGCAGTCTGCACAACTGGGGTAATGTGAAAGACCCCCAGAGGCGGTGGGTGCCAAGAATATGTAGTAGGGGAAACAATGTTTCATAATAATTTCAATAGGCAGTCTTTGGCTCTCCTCAATATTTAAATAGATGTTATTGAATATTGACATTTTCATGTGAGCATGTCTTGGGTCATGCTCCTTTCAATGTGTCAAAATTAGGACACTACTTTAAGATGTCCCTAGTTTGAATTCTGGGTCTCTCTGTCTCTGTCTCTCTCTCTGTTCTATAATAAATAACT